AATTTAATTTATATTTATGATTTTATTTCAAATATATATATTTATTATGTAAGTTCATAAATTTTATCTCTAAAAATAAAAATCTAGACACAATTCTAAACAATATTATTATTAAAGGATTTTCTTTTATTAAGTTTAATGAATTTTAAGTATTTATAAAATTTTCTTTTATTAATATGATATTTTAATACATAATTTATCTCGATAAAAATAAAAAAAATTAACTGAATACATAATTTTTATTAAATGTCCCCTAAGAACGCCATTGTATTGTAAAATAGGCACCTTAAAAAGGTAGAAAAAAATAGTCTTAGATATTTGTAATTTTTATTAACTTGCTTTTAAAGATTATAAATGTAAATGACTAAAAATATTACTTTTTATATTTTTAATCAATAAGTAATAATAAAATTAAATAAAAATTTTAGAGATAATAATATTTTTTTTAAGAAAACAGCAATACAATACACGCACTCGGATCCCTCTTGAAGAAAATGATCAAAATGTTTTCACCTTTTAACAATCAAACATGAAACTCCAATTTTACTCGACGCTTGGATGAAAATGTCACCTATGCCGCTACTGACATTTAAAACAATCAATTTTGTGCTGTAAAATGTCACCTGGAGATTAACCACCACCAGAATACCGGGAAGACGACCACTTGCGACATAGTGATCGATCTATAAGTCCCGGCCAAGACTCTAGAATTCGGGACAACATGTCTGGATTTGTTTGGTAAGAGTGCCAGATGCGGAAAATTTACGAGCAACGTACCAATCGATCCATAGGCAGCTCCCCAATTCAAGCAACTTCAGGACTTATTCAACCTGAAATCAAATTGCCTCAACACAACCAAATAACCGAATCACTGATTTTCAAAACCGACAAAACCAAGCCCAGATAGTTTAATCGGGTCAGTTGGTTAAATCAATTTAAACCAATACATGCTCAACCCTAAGAATGACTAAAACTATAAGCTCTCCCAAGTCCAACTACATTGTTTGGCCACAGCCGGAGAGGCACTTGGAAGAAAATTGTCATTCAATAAAAGAACAATGGCCGGTGAAAGTGATTTACCTATCAGCATCAAGATGGCCGACTTGAAGATAGGAATCTCTCCCACAATCAACAGCAATTGCCACATTTCGAATTTCCGAAATTTACAAAGACGCAGAAAGACATGTTTAGGGTAAATAAAAGTCAACTGCCACAGAAAAGAAGAATCATTAGAGGCAAAGGTATCACAGAGCAGAAAATGAAGCAATCAAATGGGCAACGAAGTGCGTGCCAACCTTTGGAGGGGAAAAAGGAAAAACAGAACTTTATTTCAGCAACCTTGTTAGTATCTCTACCGATAGAATTTTGCACCAAATATCTTTTTCCTATGTTCTTTCAACTCATCTTGATTAATCATAAAGTGTATACATGACAGGTACTACGGAGGCTGACCTGCACCAATACAAATAACAAATGTCAAACTGAATGATTACTAAAACAAGAACGGTTAAGTGCAAGTTATGTTCCTCCAACTCTTCATCCTTTCTGAAGAAACCATGTCCATCACCGTGTAAAGAATATTCAGACATAGGTACAGGAACATGACACTCCAAATACATAGAGAAAGTTTCAAAAAGATAAACGTATCCGTGCAAGAAAAATACTTATATCCGACACTCGCAACCAAGTTCAACTAACATGGAGGGCAAGAGAATTAAGAAAACCTGAGACTGCCAACTATAGTACTCTGCTTCTTGGTGCTTGAACTGATAAAACAGCAGTTACTGTGGCAAATGGACAAGCAGTTGCTGCTGCATATTCCAATATTTTCCTAAAAGAGATATCTAACTAAAACGGTACTAACAAACTAATTAGTCAGGTGAACCAAAACTCCCAGAGGAACAGTGATGCCACATCATTTGGCGAACTCTACTGTTAGAATTCTACCAATCTGTGCTTTGATCGATGGTGGGATTTCTCTATAAAAGCTATTTCTTCAACCAAAATTCTATTGGGGTGTAATCACCTATTTATACGACTTGGAACAATTGTAATAGAAACCCTAAGAATAGCATGTCCTCAATACCATCTTGAGAAGGACATGTCAGAACACAGTTGAAGCTCACGAAAGAAAATACAGAAAATCCCAGATTTATCTTGTACACACACATGTACAATGAGTGTCGGAAAGCAGGCACTTGTCAGTTCTTCAATATAATTGTTATGCATTGCAACATAGAAAACTGGCCATCCCAATTGCATTTTCTTCTTAAGAATTGCATAACCATGGATTAACCAATCAAAAGGAAAAATCCCTCCTAGTATAAAATCCTGCTTATCAACTGCTACTTCTTTTCTTAATAGCCAATGGCTTCCAACGCAACGCGTATTAAACGTAGCAATCCCTCTATGTCTAGGAAGTTAAAATCAAGAGCCTTTTTCAAAGAATATATAACTTCCCCATTATCATCCCCAGACAAACTTGATTTAGCATGTGTAAAAGCAATTCGTGATTTCCTTGAAACTTCTATGGCATGATTTACATCCTGTGCCTGCAAAATGTATCACATTTTGTTTTGGTCATCATGGACATGGATCACTAAACTTATATAGGATATACAAGCCAATAGGGAATAAAATGACATAATCTATGAATAAGAGAGAGCCAAAAGACGTGGTTCATTAGCAAGACCTAAGAACCTCTTGTGCTTTACAAGCAAAAAGTTTCAAAACCATATGCTCAATTTTAGCATACAGAAACCAGTAGGTATAAGGGGTAGAAGGTTTGTGAGAACGTGAAAAAAGCTTTTGGGCATTAGACCAAAAAATCACTGTTACAGTGTAAAAGGTTGGAGTGTTGGGGATGGGGGAATGTTCAGTGATGCTTTAGCGCTCATAACATTAAAAATACATGAATTGCACATTCAAAATCACCGAACTGCACTTACAAAATTGAGGAACCGCACAAAGTTAGGGCGGTTTCTAGCAGAAATAACATGATTTCCAGCAACCTGGGGAGAGCTAACACCTTTTGGAAAAGCAATCTTGTCTGCTGTCATTGGGTGGTTTAAATTATCAACATCAGAGGCAGAAGAAAAAGGAGATTCGCCTGGTATGGAAACATCCATCAATATCAAGAAAAGAAGTTAAATAAGCTGTCAATTCTTCTCATTCAGCAGATTTAAAAATATTTTAATGGCCATATACTAGCACACAAAAGAAAGAAAGAAAGAAAGAAAAGGGGGTGATAATAGGGACTGTGGAGAGAAAGACGAGCAGGCTTGAAAATATCTTTTCATATGCGTGTAAGCCTAAACTTAATTCCAAAGGCAAATTTGTAAAATCATCTTAAATGCTAAATAGCAACTACAACACTAAATTCATCTTCTCCTCTTCCTACAAATGAATGGATATGTATCTCTCTATCAGTGGAAAACAAAGAAACCCAAAAAACATATTAATGGTGTGTAAGGAAGTAAACTACTCATTTAAGCAAAGCTATCAATTTCTGTTATGCTTCTAAAATGTAACCTTCTCATGCAGAGGTATCTTCACAAATTAAGCAACAAGATTACATAATAAATATGAGAGGCTCCTCCTCCTTGATCACTAAGTGCAGAAGAGCCAATGACAACAATTACAAGTTTATGGGCTAGACAAACAAGCATCAATGAATACAGCCAGTACAAGCACTAGGTTCTTTGAATTACCAGGAGGAACCATTTGCTGTCTGCAACTCAAGTCGATCTCTACTTGCATTGGCATGAGAGGTATTGATGACTCTCATATATGACACCTCTGCACACTTGTAGGCCAAAGAAGCAGCAGCCATGTTGTTTAATCTCTCGTATTCATGAGCACAAAACCTGAAATATCAATTAGTAGCCACAGACACAAAATTAAAATAAGTGGAAAAAAAACTATCACAAAACAAAATGCAGTAACAGAATATTCCATATTGCAAGAGATCATTTTAGCTAGAACAAGATTAAATTCCAACAAAGTGTTAAAAAATGTACTATAGCAACTAATATTTAACTTACTCGCAGAGTTTTGCAGTGCTACTATATATTTGCAGAGACTGAATAATCTCTCCCTGTTTAGTACCCTCACTATTGCACGATTCTAGTAGAGAAGCACTATGTAGAAACTTCAATGCTTACTGGAAATAAAGTGCAGTGCTCTCCTTATTTGATCCAGAGTTCTAATAGAAATTTTCAAAAATTGAAAAAGGATAAAATCAAGCTTGATAGAGGCTAGGCCAAAATAAAATTGCAATAAGAAAACAATAAGGTGAAAACCTTGACACGATCAGCCATATGCTTGCATCAATGTCCCTTACCCTATGTCCACCTGATGTACCATGTCTAGAACTACCATGTTGAGTCCCATTTTGATGACCAGCCTTCTTTATTTTTATTTGTACCTTCTTCAATGCATCATCACCTTGAGATCCATCAGCTCCATTTCCCTTTTGGGACCCAGTAGGCCGGGGGCAATGAGTCAGCATCTCATTTGGAGTTCCTCCAGAGGGTGGTAATGATAGTGAGTTCCCTCCCCCAGAAGCAATATCAGCATGATCAGATTTGTCAAAGTGTGATCTCTTCAAATACTTGCTAGCATTGCCATCCTGCATAATATTTTGCTTCAAAGAAGACATTACATCTTGACCTCCAATGGCTTCTCGTTTAGCATTTGAACAACCAACATTTGATTGGCTTTCTCTTTTACTACTCTCACCAGAGTTTTCCCGCAGATGCTTTATTATCATCAACAAATCTATTCTCACTTTCATTAGACTGAACTCCAAGCCTCTCCTGGAAATTATTTCTTTTATCCCTAGGTTTTATGTTGCGTGAAAGCACACGATCTTCCAGTTCATCAACAGAATCAGATTTAAGTTTATGACCCCTACCCTTAGACTGTGAGGAACCCTTACCGAACTTTCTTGGCTGAGAGAGATTGCCATCACCATGTTTTTCATTCAGATTATCTTCACCATGGTGTCTATCCACTGTTGTTAATTCACCGGAAGATTTAGCCTCTTGACCTAAATAGTCAACAGTATCATTCATAAATTGACCTTTTCTAATATTAGGAGAAGATTCAATCGAAGCCTTAGCTCTACTGCCACCTGATTGACCATCATCCTTATCCTGAACATCAAGTATAGAAGAGTCAAGGGATCAATGTTGAGCTGCAAGAGAAGTTTTTCCCTTCCTTATACCAGACTTGGCACTCTGACCCTTATCTTCACCATCTGAGTACCCACTCGGACTACCTGCAACAAAGAGACCAGCATCATGAGACTCGTCTTTCCCTGTATCATTCCTCGTTGACAATGGAAGCTTATCTGGATTAGCAAATCTCACTAAAGATGAGGAAACTGATTTTTCAGGCGAGTCCTTTGTTTCATGGAAGCCAGTCTTTGATTTATGTGAATAACAAAGATTAGATGAGCTTGTGGTTGCAGCCAAAGAAGGTTGGGAAGATGCAAAATCCCTTTTCAGTGAATCTTTACCACCCAAGTTACGGTGATTCTTTGAATGTATATTTTCTTTCTCCATCTTACTACTTTTACTTGCAGAGGAGGAATCTTTCCCCCAGACATAGATGCCCTGGCCTTCTTTTCCTGCTTGTAGTCATTTTTCCTGAACTCTCCTTTCACAAACACACTGTCATCATCAACTTTCCTCTTTCTTGAAACTTCCCCACCATCAAAATTCACCAGATCGACTGATCCATCAGCCAAGGAAACCTGAACTTTTTCCTTTGGCCTTTTACCAGAGTCCTGATGTTTGTCCTTCTTATCCAACTTTTGATCATTATCAGAAGAACGCTCACAGTGTTTAGGTTGATCCTTTCCTAATATGTGGTTGGCAGATCATTATTTGTGCTAGGAACCTCCTTACCAGCATGCTCAGACACACGATCTTCACCAGCAAGATGCAAAATTTCAAACTTAATTTTCTTGGACACCCTTAAAGATTCTTGATCAGAGGTCCTTTTTCTTTTCATCTTTGAAGTTTTGGAATCACCTAATTGCATGTGTTTTATGAAAGCAACATATTATATAATTTCAAAAGAAACTCTAGATGTACGATAAATACATGTTTAAAAAGAGTACCTCCACCAGATATGTGTTCTGACACTTTATGCTTCTCTTTCTTCTTACTTTTGTGTTTCTTGGCAGGAAAATCACATTTTCTAGGATCATGCAAACCAAGTTCACTTATCACAGCAGATTTAGTTATATCAGTTAAACTCCCAGATAGACATGACGCCTGCATGTTCTTCAGAGTAACTGGCCCATCTTTATCTATTGCATTTGATATTTCTTTTGAACCATGTTTCTTTCTTCCAGGAGGCATGGCATGTGAACCAAAACATTGTTGGTTTTCTTCAGGTTTCAGGGTATCAGCTGATTGTAATCTGGACATAGTACTGCCAGGATTATTTTGAAGATTATTTTGACTTGCTACAGCAGGAACTTGATACAATGCAAAAGCAGCTTTTGTAGTTTCCTCCTCATCAACGCTGCAGTGGTTCATTGCAGGCCTAAATATTTACAAGACAAACAATATTAGAGACAGAGAAGAGGAGGTATTTCTCAGCAATCCATCACAAAGTTAACCACCTAAACCATTTCATGTTCACTCTAAACACCATTTTAACAATAAATATGTATGAAAAACTTAGGAGTCTGAACTCTTTACCAATAAATTACAGTTACGAAATTTCAGAAGGATGATAAAAAAACTTACAGCCAGTTAAGCATGCTGCATGACCACTTCTCGGGTAAATCAGTAGGCTTTATGCTTATTGGAAGAAGGCGCCACTTCATGCACTGATCACAAGAAACCCAGTTTTCTTTTATGAATACAGGAGCTGCAGTTCCAAGGCAAGCTCCAGCAGAAATCACATTACCAGAGTCAGAAGCACCATTCACAGTTGCTCCAGGGTATGATTGGCTTACCATAAAATCCTCAATTTTGTTACCACTTTGTCTGTCATTATGTGCACTGTTAATGGCTAATGATTTTTTTCCAATCTTGTCATCTTCCATCATCTGATCTTTAGAATGAATTTCTAATGTCCTTGTTAGGTACTCTTCCTGTTCCACTCCTCCAACATCTCCAAAAAATTCTCTATACCAATCTTCAGCCTTTTGTAAAACTATATCTAATTTCTGATCTCCTAAATCCCTTTTGTTTGTATTATTGTTCACATGAGCAGTCTGCTTAACTTTCGGCATCAAAGAACCAACCCTCAAGCTTTCTTTTGGTACCTCAGCGGCTAGACTGCCTTCACCATGATTGCCTTTTGATTTATTTTTTCCACCAGAAGAGGTATGATCCTTGGCAGGAGGCAACTTCATATTTTCTTGCTCATGCAAGGTAGCTATCTGATTGCTCTTCTTCCTAAGAGGATCTACTGATTCACTCTCTAGAGCTTTGCTACTTTTTAGAGTATTAGACTCGGCTTTGACAAAATCACAAGTGTTTTCTGCTTTAATATACTCATCTTTTCTCGCACAGCCTGAATTATCATTCAAAACCTTTTGTGCTGAATTTGCCCTTAGATTATCCCCGCGAATATTTTGTGCAAGTATTAGCTCCACTGACTCTTCCATAGCTACATAATGGACATCTTTATTTCCTGCTATGCTCTTATCTTTTACCTTCTCAACAGCCGAGTGTGAATTAAGCAAAAGCGGAATTAAGAAAACAGAGTAATTCTCTGTAATTTCTTATTCTTTTCAATAGTACAGATTACATATTTATATACAAATCATCTCTCTAAAGTATGAAACTCTAAGAAAGGAAAAATACTAATCCTAGGAGATATGATCCCTTAAAATAAGGGATTATAAAATATTTACAGAATCCCTTAATTAAAGGATATTTACATAATCATATATTTCTATAATTCCTACACTCCTCTTCAAACTGGAGAATATACATTGTATAATCCCAGCTTGAATAGGAATTTCTTGAAAACAGGTTTTAGCAAAGCTTTAGTAAGAATGTTTGCAACTTGTTCTTTTGAAGGAATGTATGAAAGTGTGGTTGTCTTTTTGTTAACTTGGTCAGCAATAAAATGCCTATCAATCTCAACATGCTTTGTCCGATCATGTTGAAATGAGTTCTTAGCAATTTGAATAGCAGATTGATTATCACACAAAACTTCAAAGTGATCCTCTTGATTAGTGACAAGTTCTTTCAGTAGTTTAAGTAGCCAAATTCCTTCGCATATTCCCAATGCTAATGCTTTGAATTCAGCTTCAGCACTACTTCTTGAAACGACAGATTGTTTCTTACTTCTCCAAGTTATAAGGTTTCCCCAAACAAAGGTGCAGTAACCACTAGTGGTCCTTTCAGTAACGTCTCCAGCCCAACTAGAATCTGTAAAGATCTTAACTGTTCTGTCTTGTGTCTTTTTAAACATTAAACCGTATCCTGGAGTTTTCTTCAAGTACTTGAGAATTCTATTTGCTGCTGTCATATACTCTTCAGTATGATTAGTCATGTGTTGACTTATTTGGATCTAAAACCCAACACCAAAACAAAAACAAGTCGAAACAACATAATTAAACTTTAATTAAGTAAAATAAAAAAGAGAGACAGCTTTTTGCAGCTAAGAAGAAATAGAAAGACCCCAAGTTTGCTTACAATGTAAGAGAGAGAAGATAGGTCATTCTCGGGGCCGGTTGTGGTATCATGTTCATCGTTGTAAGTACACGCCTCTCCTTCAAGCTCAGACTCTCCCATTTCTCTTTCATCACACCCTAAGGAAATCATTTAACGACAAGATGATAAAGCAAAAATAAAAAAGAGTAAATCTCACCCTAATTATCAAATGGTCAAACATAATTTTCTATTATTCAAATCCCACGAGTCCTTTCCAGACCATTTTGAACAACTCCCTAAAACCCACAATGAGGAAATGAGCTCTTTTACCCTAATTCCCATTGATTGGAAGGGGTGAAAAAAAAACTCGATCACGAATCCAAACACCTAATCAAAATTTTAGAACGGTTCAATTTCCAAAAGGAATAAAGCATTTAAACACAAGCATCTCCAGAGATTAATAATTATAATGTTTTTAAGAGAAGTTTCATTTATTTGTTTATTTATTTATTTCGACGCGATCTCTTTAGCTGGAATGGATTGGCACATAGAATGGAGAATGAGAGAAAGAAAGAGCGACTCTCTCTGGTTTTGGTATAAGTTGCAGCCGCCTTTTATTTTGTTTAGGGTAAACTATATCCAAAGTCACTTAATTATGGATTTAGTAACAAATACGTCACTTTCTTTGAAAAGTTATAAATAGGTCACCTGGTTAAAATATTATTACAAATAGAAGCTCTCCTCGAGAACATGTGTCCTTATGGTTGAATCCATATGAACAGGTCCGATCTCAAAAGCTTACATTAGCATTTCTTCTCTGTTTCCTATTCTCAACTTGCATCCATGGTCAATGTCTCTCTTCCGGTTTCTCCACTAGCATATCAATGCTTTCAAGGTATTGGTCAGTTGATAGTGTTCCATATATTAGTTTGCACACATTCACAGTATGTCCATTCACAGTATGTCCATTCTTTTCACACGACTAGCAAAATCGTTGGAACCCCTTCATATTCGAGTTTCCATCGAATGCCGTCGATAAGAACCCCAGAGATAAACTGTTTATTCATATCAACGCTCACAGTCAATCTAGCAGACTTCCCTCACTTCCCCTCAGTTGTATTGTAATCAATCCGAAAGACTTTTCCCACAATTCCGGCAATGAACCGGAGCATACGTTTAGAGTAAGACCTATACGGTAAGCCGGGATTCTTATCCATACAACTATCTGCGCCGGGTGATCTTCAGCCGTCGAGAAATGGCGGCTCTACAGTATATCAACCATGGGCTCCCGTTGGGACACGAGAGCAATCCTCTGCTAAAATATGGAGGCTAAAGACTAGAGTAGTCGAGTAGTGTGGGTCACATCTATAGGGTGTATCATCTCTGTCTTCTTTTAATGTCTTTGTAGTATTTTCCATGACTTCTACTTTTTATATGTTTCTGTTATTGGTATTTATGAAGGATTAGAATTGCGCTTGCTATCGTTGACTTCTGTGTATCATTCTCTTCATGTTTCCTCTTTTAAATTTAGCCGGGTCTTATGTTTCTGTCTATATGCAGAGATTCTTTCGCAGGGATTAATTCCCATTACAGACGCACATATGATTTTAATGACTGCATATGAATATTGTTTAGCTATGTATTTATTTATATATGCACTGCATTTATCTATATTTTTAATTTTCTGACTGCCGGAGGTCTTCCACGGAAACTACTCTCAACCTGACGTTGGGAGCAACCTACTACCCTATCTCCCCCTTACCCCATACATATGGGAATTGGGTTTTGTTGTTGTTGTTAATAGTCATCTATTAACTCGTTTACTCGAGATCGAGAAAGCGATCACAAGAGTACCATCTTCAGAACCCATTCGTATATCATCATCAAAACCCATGATTGAATGCGTGGCTGAATTTCCAGCATTCTTGCCCATTATATAAGTTTATTAAGTATGAGGACTGGTTTTTTTAGTTAATGACCAATTAATCACATTTTCCGTATACTTGTAGCCAATGACCAATTATAAAAAATCCAACTTTTAGTTATAAGTGTTTAACGATGACATTATTAAGGCACGCCTTATAATAAAAATTACGATAACCAAACTAAAATATAAAATTCATAATTGATCGAATTTATTAAATGGTCTCAGTTAGTGGGATATACAAAACATATTCAGAGTGGTTACGTGTTTATCTTAAAATTCAAATTTCTTTTTATTAATTATTCATTTTAGTATTGGTGTCTACTCCGAAATTTTATTTGTACCCACCTCATACTAAAATTTTCAATAATTAATATGTGTGTACTCTCACTCTAAAAAATATTTATGGATCCGTCACTGGCTTCAATAATAATAATAATAAATATTTTTCTAAATATTTTGGATCGAGCAATTATGTTTACAGGCTACGTATACACTACTAACTGATTAAAAACATCTAAATAAATAATACGTTATAATCATTTCATACTGTTAAAAAGATTTAATATAAAAATAATTGTATAAATTATACTTAAAATTAAACTTTTAGTGCCTAAAAATTTTTCGTTAAAAATACGTGTCTAAAGTTTTATCCGTTACACTTTTAGATGTCAACCGTTAAAAGAATTCGTTAAGTGACATGTGTCATTTGACGGTTTTTAAAAAAAATAATTGAATAATATTATATTTAAAAAAAATAAACGTGATACGTGTCACTTAACAGATTTTTTAACGGTAGACACTTAAAAATATAACGAAAAAAACTTTAAATACTTATTTTTAACAAAAACAAAAAAAAAATTTGACGTTAAAACATTTTTCGAGATATTTTTTATAAACTAAATTTTGTATTAAGACTATTAAAAAGATCCACACAACTTGCAAATAATAGAACTATTAAAAGAATTTAATCTAAACGACGTAAGAAATTATTAAACGCGAAGAAGCGTGCTGACGTCACCGACAACCATAAAGCACTTGAACAAACACTGAGGGTTAGAACGGTAGTTTTGGTTACGATAAGTGTCGGTTACCTGTTCACTTTCAATGTCCAAACTCCGTACCAATTTTTGCAGGCGCGCTTTATTTGGCGGGTACATAATAAATAATAGAGTATTAAGCTAATTGCTTCACAAGTCCTATAGTTTTACCAATTTTGCAGATGCGTTTTTAATTAAGTTTTAAAAGTAGCAGAGTAATATTTTTAATTAGGTACTGAACAATCAATTTAGGATTAAATATTAGTATAAATTTGATGTATAAAAAAATATAAAAATTATTTTCAATAGCAAATATAATAATATTTAATGCTTAATCTAATTAATAGAGTTCAAAAAAGAACCTAAATGACAATATCCTAATATTTTGAGATTTTAATTAAAATGTTTTAGGACTAATTTAGAATATAAGACATTGTTTGAGTATTAAGTGTAATTAATCCAATATAATCATAGATGCTGTGTAAGAAAATGCCTCCGAAAACCAAATCGTACGGTATTTTGAGAGAGCGAGAGAAACAAAAGCTTACAGTGAAGGATCTCTTCTTCTTAGCAAACTTCCTCTATAGATTGAGCTCTTTGTGATCTTTCTAGAACATTTCAAGCATCTCTCGTGGAGCCTTACATTTTTTTAAGTGAACTCGGTAAGGTATCACTGTACTACAGACCCGTACCCCCTACCTACACAAAACCCTGTTCCGATGGAGTTGTACGGTCGGAACCCGATTCATAACGGGTCTCAATCTGGTTATCTATCCGAATGGAACCCCGCTGGGGCGGAAACCGGCTTGGAAGGTATTTTTCGTTCATTTCAATGTGAACAGAGTTTCCGTTTTCCTACTCGCATCTTGACAATGCTTCTTCGGTTGAGCTATATTTTAGGGTTTTTAATAGCGTGGAGAGTGGATTAGGGTTTCATTCTGTTTCTGTTTTGTAATATAGAGTCGATGTGGCAATTGTCGGTGAGGGGCATCGAATCGTACCCGGAACGGCCCGGGGTAACTGACTGTGTTTACTACATGCGAACTGGGTTCTGTGGATACGGTAAAACCTGCCGTTACAATCATCCCCGCAACCGAGCTGCGGTAAATTTCTCTATCATTTTGATTATATATGGAGTTTTTTCCCCATTACTTTATTTGGTTTTGTATGCAATGTTTGGTAGATGTTTATTCGTATATTTCATACCAAACTATCAGATACATGTGTATGTTGGTAGATGTTTATTCGTATATTTGTACCAAAATATTTTGTTTAGTCTGTAGTAAGTGAAGCGAGCAAAGAGGACTGAATTCCATGGGATTGTGCTTCCATTGGGCCTACCTCAACTTAAAAACTAAACTTCAGGTCTTCTTTATCTGTTGCTCAGGATATAGAATTACATTATTCAAATAAGGTATTTGCCTGCTTCATTTATTCTTTAAAATGAATGGAGGATAGTTCTTGATAGAATTGGATTATATAAGAGAATTTACTTTGGTTTACTTATTAGCCTGTGGTTTTAAACTGAGGCAGGGTTTATCTGATTTTCAGCTTTAAGTCTTTTCTGAGAGTTGAGTCCCTTATTTTCTATTGGTTGCCATGCCGTTTAGGTTGAGGCTGCTGTAAGAGCCACAGGGGAGTACCCTGAACGACCAGGGGAACCCGTATGTCAGGTATAATTTATTGAAAAAATACACAGTTGTTTTATCATGGGTCAACTCCTTTGCTAATTAATGCTGTGAATACCTTTTCCTTCTGTTTTCAACTTGTTCCCTTTTCTATTGCATCTATGTAGTTTTATTTAAAAACCGGAACCTGTAAATTCGGTGTATCCTGCAAGTTCAACCATCCAAAACATGGAGGTGGATCCTTAAGCCATGTTTCATTGAATATATTTGGACACCCATTACGACCGGTTTGGATGACCACTTTTCTTGTTTTTTTTTTTCTCAATTTTAATGTCTGTTTTGAGGATTCTTAAAACATCTAGACATCAATTCGATGTGTATCCATTAACAGGGTGAGAAAGAATGCTCCTACTATTTGAAAACGGGGCAGTGCAAATTTGGTATTACTTGTAAATTCCACCATCCTCAACCAGCTGGCACATCAATTTCATCACCTGCACCTCAATTTTATCAGCCTGTGCAGTCTCCTTCTGTCCCGATACCTGAACAATATGGTGGGGCATCCACCAATGTGAGAGTGGCAAGGCCACCACCTTTACCTGGTTCATATGTTCAAGGGGCTTATGGTCCTGTACTGTTTTCCCCAGGAGTGGTTCCTATTCAGGGTTGGAGTCACTACTCGGTAGGATGATCAGCACAGTTGCATTTAAAGAAAATGTCAAGGCTATATGAGATTCCTGAATATGTTTTCGGCTTCCTTGGTGCAGGCGCCTGTAAGCCCAGTTCTCTCTCCTGGTGCACAATCTGCTGTTGGAGCCACTTCTGTCTATGGACTAACGCAAGTATCTTCTTCAGCACCTTTGCTTGCAGGTCCTTATCCCTCATTCCCCTCTTCTACTGGCTTTTCAAGCAGTAACCAGAAGGAAATTACATTTCCAGAGAGACCTGGTGAACCTGAATGTCAATACTATTTGAGGACAGGCAACTGTAAATTTGGATCATCTTGTAGGTATCATCATCCTAGAGACAGGATTGTGCCACAAACAAATTGCATCCTCAGCCCATTGGGACTTCCTTTACGACCAGTATGAACATTCTCACAACCTTATCCTATATCATGTCTTGTTTTCTTCTGTTTAAGGTGACATTCTGTTATGGTATTTACTCTAATTTAGAGTGGGCTTTGAAGGGATCATGACTTCAAGATCTTGCATTATAAATTAGGTTTGGTTAGCCTAATATGTTTTAAATACCTCAATTATATTTGATTGTCCTGTTAACCCGAAATTCTGTTTTATCCTCCATTCAGTTAGTATTTTTTGTTCCTTGAAGGGGGGGGGGGGGAAGGAGATGGTCTTTCAGCCCTATTACCACTTAATTAATTTTACCTTTTTTCTTAATTAGTTTTTTTCTCTCCTTAAAATATGGATTAGGCTTGCTTTGTTTTTTAAGAGTTCAATGCTCAAGTGTGGGGTTCAGAGGCATCAATAATGGTCATCTTTAATGGATCAGAGGTTTATTCAAACTCCATTGTCAGCGTTATGCTTTTTTCCTGCCAATAATCCAATTCTGAAGCTTTATGCTGGCCTCAGAACTTGGGAATCAAATTATTCCTTTTCTAGATTATTTCGGTTGGCCAAAGCTTCATAATGAATATTGGGTTAGGAGCAGTATGGCTTGAGAAGAATATACAGTATGATTTTCAGGCCTCAGAACTTGGGAATCAAATTATTCCTTTTCTAGATTATTTAGGTTGGTCAAAGCTTCATAATGAATATTGGGTTAGGAGCAGTATAGTTTGAGGAGAATATACAGTATGATTATCATTTATCAGGCCTCAGAACTTGGCAATCAAATTATTCCTTTTCTAGATTATTTAGGTTGGTCAAAACTTCATAATGAATATAATGGGATAGGAGCAGTACAGTTTGAGGAGAATATACAGTATGATTATCATTTACAAATTGTGTTAGTAAGTTTGATGATTGGTGATATTACATTTGGTCTCCCAATATATGAAAAAAAACTAGAAAAAATTGAGCTTACCCTTGTTAGACGCATGGCCATATCTGATACTCATCCTAGAGTCTGAATAACATAGTCTCAGACTTTTTAATATTATGGTTGTCAGAAGAGATGATTAGGAAGATTCCACCGATTTACAGTGGAGAGTAGCATATTCTGTTTCAAGGAGAAAGCAACTATAGCATGATGATAAACTTATCGAGGAAAAGACACTTCGAGTGGTAGTGTTTTAATGGATATAATGCCATAAGAATAGTATTCCGAACCGGCATGTGCAAGTTCTCGTTTAAATTATTGCAGCCCTCGAATTTCAGATCAACCAAGACCTTAGTCATCACATATCTTGTAGATTTGCATACCATTTGCCTCTTAAACTGTATCCATGTATTAGTCCATTGCAGCTTTCTCGTTTTCTAGAAAATGTTGTAATTCGATTCATATTCCTGTTAAACAGGGGGTGCAGCCTTGTGCTTTCTACTTGCAGAATGGGCACTGCAAGTTTGGATCCACATGCAAGTTTGATCATCCTGTAGGAACAATGAGATATACTCCATAGCGTGGTCTCTTGTTGATATCCCATGCTGGTTGCTCTCCATCCAGTTGAGGCTTTACTGGCTACATCGGCCCCTTCGTCTTCCCTTTGCAGCCGATGCTTATTTGAGGAGAATTCCTTCTTCTGTGAGCACATCTTAGTTCAGTTGGTTTGATTTTTTTCGATGATGGTGTCTGTCCCCCCTTCAGATTTGCAGCTTCCAAGCAGAGTTCTGTTTCTTTAAGCATTAGCAGAAGCACACGACCGGAATGTGAATTTTGTCGCTAGAATCGATGTAAAATAGCCGTTCTTCATCTTCTTGCCAAAGTGGTTTCACCATCCTCTCTGTATATCATAGTCAGCTGTGCAAAGGTATATTTCTCAGCAGCCAGGGTCATGGACAGATATGCCTGACCACACAAACGGACTGATGGAATTTTATGCGTAGCTTGTCTTTATTTACCGCCATTGTTGTCTTGAATAAGATTCCATTATCAAACTGTGTATTCCGAGTGATCAAAACAGAGAGCCATCATAATTTGATGAAAAGTTTTGATTTTAAAGTTTAGCGTTGGGCTCTTTTACAGACAATGTTCTAAGCACATCTTATTCATCCACGACGTGGGATACATGGCATGTCACTAATTCGACCAATGTTAGGGGTGTTTATCGAGCGAGTCGATCGCGAGTTGGGTAGTACTTTACTCGTTACTTGTTAAACTCGTTAAACTCATTAAAATCTTGCTCGACTCGTACTCGTTAAAAAAATTGTTGCTCAACTTGTGTTTGTTAAGCTCACTAAATTTTTTATCATATTTTTTTAATTAAAGTTAAAATCTACTAATACTATAAATTAATAGATTAGTCATTTATCATTTTTATTATCTATTAGTACATTAGTAATTTTTTGAATAAAATAATTTTTTAAAATACCTACTAAAAAATTATAAAAAATAACGAGCTGCTCGCGAACTTATCGAGTCGAATTAAACTTTGCTTGATTCAGCTCGTTATGGTCTCCGAATCGAATCAACCCGAGTCGAGATTTTACCGAATCGAGTTCGAGCTGTACACGAACTATTCAACTCATTAAACGCCCCTAGGCCTTAACCAGCACTGACCGGTTGCTGGTTGTTTCCGATCAGGTCTCCGAGTAGTAGAGAAATGAATGAGAATGGTGTAGATGTTAATAGCTGTTATATATTTCAAGTCAACTCAGGTATGGAAATATATGTAGGCTCTTGAAAAACATCAAACAAAGATTTGATCAAACTCGAATCTCAAATTTTAAATTAAACTCAAATCTTATACTTCTTAAATTCAACTTAAATATAGCAACAACATTACAAGGGAAATCAAAATCTCAATTATCAACATATAACAAGCTATATATATATATGGTATGAATAGGGAAATAATAGTTGTAGATAATTCATCCTTTCTGGATTGATCGTAGAATTACAATTGATGATAATACGAAAAAAGAAGAGAAAAGATGATGGAAGAAGATAATGATGTGAAATTCCGTGTTCTTTTAATCAAGAGAAAGTGAACCGTTTAAGACGATCATCTTTTTCCTTAGACAATCAATAATCGTACTGGATTCAAGCTTCGCATGTAAATTTAGTAATTTACCAACCTACACGGTGGTGGACAACCATGGTCGGCCTGCGGGGAGGTTGACTGACGCAGGAAAGCAAGAGGGCGACTGCGATGACCAGAGCAAGGAGAAGTCCCATGAGATCCACGTTTAGTTCTATGCAGAACTGCCCCATCTTCTTCTTCTTCCTTTTTCTGCCCCTGAGATACAATGGTCAATGGTAAACCATTATGCAAATGAAATTTATAGCTGAGGCAGGCGGCTGTGCTAGTCTTTGGAGTCAACACTCCTATATAAAATAAGGGTAAACTACACGTTTAGTACCCAACTATCACTTTTGTTCCGTTTTAGTCATGCAACTACTTTTTTTTCAAAATCATACCTAACGTTTAGTTTTGGTTTCATTTTGGTCACCTGCCTTTAAAAAATTAACGATGATACAGATCTGTCATTATACGATAACACAACATCATCATTGAAAAATATAATTGATATGATTTTAGGAAAAAAATATTTAGATTATCAAAACGGAACAAAAGTGATAATTGATATACTAAACATGTAGTTTACCCATAAATAATTCAAATTCCAGTTATTATTTAAATTCCATTTTATAACTCGACTCGAATTTGAATTTTTTAGTCAAGTTGAGTTTATAAAATTACGGATCGAGCTTCTCCTAGTCTAATCGAAAAGATTGACTTTTTTAGTTTAGTCGAGTTTTATTCACCCCTAAATATGATAAAGATAAGTGGAAGAAGATTAAAAATTAAATATGGGGAGAAAAAATAGTCACGGTTGAAACTCAAATGAGTAAATTAGGGTTTTATAAAAAATTTAAGGGTTTTTAAAGAGGAGAGATAATATCGATCGCTGCGAAAGTTGTTTCGCATGACAAAAATAGTGTCAGATCAACGAATTAACGTGTCAAGTGACAAAAAAATAATTAGATGATTAAAACGAAGTAAAAATTTACCCATAAATAATTTAAATTTAAGGTGCAAAATTACTACTTTTCCTTCACAAATGGACATGGCAATGACTAAGACCACAGTAAGCAAATGAGCCAACTCAAACCGACTTTTATATAAAATAAAGTAATATGTCACCATCCAACTCCAAGTCAAGTCTCTAATAATATGTATAAACAAATATAATCAACTATTTATGTGTATTGCCATGTCATTCATATATTTTTTAGATATAATTTTATTGGATCTTTCTTATATTAAATTAAATCATAACAAATATAAAATTTAACTATAATTTAATTATGTCAAATTATTAAGAATAATATATTAGATTTACGAAAATGTAACTGAATTTATTGTTAGAGATCACTTAGAAGGTTGGGATCTTTCAAGATGGTAGGTTTGTCTTGAGTATAAACTCTATTAAGGGTTAAGAAAATACAAATTAACCTTTTTTAAGAGATCACGGCCTCTTATATTGATTAAATATTAAGTCAATCTATTAAGTATTTAGAATTTTGTCCATCATCAAATTGTAAATACAAATTATAGTATATTCCCATTATTTTTGTGACACTTTAATACCTATGACACATATAATATAATTGATCACTTAATTTTGTTTTATCATTTACGATAACATTATACATATGTGCCCACAATTATAGATTTTAATCCAACACCCTTCATTAATGTTACATTAATTTATAGGTTAAAGAAACTTAATCTATTTTTGAAGGTTCCGAAAAATAAACTCGTGATTTTATAAAAAAAAAAATAAGGGTCTTTAAAAACAAATTAAATTTGTTTGAGGGTTGACATATAATACTTTAAAGTTTAGAGATCAATTTAGAATGATGTTATTATTTGAGGATTAATTTAAAATAGAATGGTATTACTAGAATGGTCAAAATAGAATGATATTAATAGTTTGAGGATTGACATATAATAGAAACTTAATTTGTTTGAGGATTGACATATAATATACTTTAAAGTTTAGAGATCAATTTAGAATGATGATATTATTTGAGGATTAGGTATGCGAATTAGACCAAATAATTAATTTGAAGAGGTGAAAATGACAAATACTACAAATGGGGAAAAAATCCAAAACTATTATAAAATAATATATATTCAAAAAAAATTAATCATTTCATACATATGAAATCAGATTCGATCAATTCTTTTAAGAAGAAGTGTATAATTTTAAATAATTGCACAAATTAAATAAGGGAATATAATTGTACAAAACAAGGCCAAAACGGTAGTTAACTGTCGTTTTTAGTTAATGTAATATAGGATCACTTTTACTTTTATTTAGTTAAAATATGATCATTTTTCGTTTTTAGTTAATTGTGATGTGGTTACCACGGTTAACTTTCGTTAACAGATTACGTGACGTTTTATTTTGATATGATCACATATTTGGTTAATATTATTTATATATTCTCTTAATTTAGTCATACTTAATAAATTAAAATAAATATAATCCCCCAATCGAACGATGTCACGTGTCAATAGACAAGACCAATACTTGGGCCTATTGGAAAGAAAACAAACTTGGGTCTATAGAGCAAATTAAGGTTAAAGGAGTTCAAATTAGGTCTATTGGGAAATCAAGCATATACCTAATCATTGAGTCAAAACCAATACTTGACATACAATAGACAACGTAATGTATATATTTTGTATCTTAGTGTATAAATATTTATATATATATTAACTTAAAGTTAGTCTCCAAATCGAATGATGACACGTGATATGTGACATCATTCAATTGGAGGATTAAATTTATTTTAATTTATTAAAAATATGACTAAACTGAAAAAATACATAAATAACAATAACTAATCGTGTGATTATATCAAAATATTTAATTTAATATTTATCCAAATAAATTTATAAAAAAATCCGAAATATTGAACGGCACAAACACCGAGTTTTCCTATCAAAAGTTTGTGAAGCGGAATTCTTATTGTGCTTTTGTTTTGTTTAATATTTCGGGTAAACTTATACAAAAGTTTCTTGTGATTTCCCTATCACACAGAGACTTTTCAATTCCCTTTGAAGGATTTATCGTGGTAGAGAATCAAATCTGAATGGTTGAAAGATCATAAAAAAGAAAAAGAAATAATATATCTTAATTCTGCGGAGAGATCATAAAAAGGAGAAAAATGATCATATAATAACGACGATGATAAAAAAAACGCCATCTAGTGATTTGGATAGTTCATTTTCATTTACAATAATACAGACATGGCACAAAGCAGCCCTCATTGCCAACAAATTTGTATATTTCATGATTCAGAATTCCATATCACTATTCAATCATAGAAACCAAAATTTTAGATTCAGGCGCCCAGTCAAATTTGGGATACACTTCATCATTCATAAAATTGTTCATCAATTCTTTTTTGTTTTTTTCGGTGGGGTTTGGCCATATAATTATGAAGCTAAATATGATGTTTTTTGTCACTATTTTTAGAAATAAAAAGGGTGTACTTATAGTTGGGGGTGCTTTTTCCGTGTTGATGTTCATGCCTCGTCTTTATTGTTTCAGAACAGTTAAGGTCTTGAACAAGGAACTGTTTAAGAATAATTTATGATTATTACTTATGATGTCTGGATTTTTTTATTTTTTTAAGTAGTCATATTAGACATGAGCATTTTATTCCTTAGACCAGCGCAAAATTGGTGTTTGGTGCTTTCCCACGTTATGATTCCAATAGAATGTGATTCCTCGAAATGTGATTGATAGGGATGTAAGTACTGTGAATGTTATTTTAACCACATTAAAGATTAGAGATTAAAATCAACAACAAATTAGTTTAGTCAGACGAGACATTAGATACTTCAAGTTAGATCATTATGTTATAAATAGAGCAAATTATGTTGAGACAATTGCCATTATAATGAATCTTTTCAGTATTA